AGAAAGATAGGCAGCACCAACTTCAACTGGCGGTCACGTAGGGCTCCTTGATGACCAACAGGAACATTGACTTGGTAGACCTGGCGAACACTGACCCCTCCCCGACAGTCGGCGGCAATCTTGTCCATGGCGCTGAGGCTCATGCCGATGTGGTGGGCCTCCAACCAGGCCCGGTCCGTGGGCAGACCGCCCAAGTAGATAGAACTATTGCCTGCCTCGCCCAGGAAGATGAGCGTGGGAGGCTCTGGGGCACCGCTGTGCCCGGGCCGGCGCCAGCGTTCCCGGGCCGCTGCGTCGAAGGCCGCATCGTTCGCCTCCTGCAGGTGCTGAGGCCGCTCCGGCGACGGTTGCAGCACGGAGGGCATGGCCTTGACTTTGGGGGTCGAAGGTGGCGTGCTCGAAGGAACTGCCGCGGTTGAAGACGAAGATGCCCGAGGTGAAGCCGATGGCAAAGGTGGTGGTGCCCGCAAAGATGGAACAGATGCCGAAGCTGATGAGGGCGAAACCACAGGCAGCACAGGTGGCACCTTCGGCGGAGGTGCTTTGGGCGGCGTCACCGGTTGGGCACTACCGCCAGCAGCAGCCCTGGGCGGCGACTCCACCCGTGCCCGCTTCGCCGACCGCGAGGGACTGGTGAACGAAAAGGTTGACACCGTGTTCCTCGGCCCCTGTGTGGGCTCAGGCACCGGGCCGGCAGCCACAGCTGGTGCCGGGCGCTTCCGCCGGAGCGCTGCAGTGAGTCGTTGACCAGTAGCGCGAATCATCTGGACCTGGGCCGGCAGCAAGGTCTTGACCACGGGCATGCCAGGGATGGAGTCCGTAGAAACTCGGCGGATCTGAGGGTCCGAAGCGAGGAGCTCGTCAGCCTCTTCCATGCAAGTGGACCATCGGGCCGAGGCATAGCCGGTCGGCAGTTCGTCCCACAACGCCATGTTGAGGTCCTGGAAGAAGTGCAAGCCAGCCAGGCGCAACTGGTGTCCTAGGCGTTGTTTCCGCGAGTCATATCGCAGAGGGGTGGTAGCCGTAGACTTGGAGGACTGATCCACCCATTGTCCAAGAGCGAGACGCTCTGTCTCTGAGAGCCCCACATACCCTGCCAAAGTCGGAAGCACGCGGCGGAACGAGTAGGACGAGAGGCTGGTAACGTCCATGGCTGCACTCAGGTAGGGCTGCAGGATCCGGACACATTGTGCTGTACCCACCGGCTGGGCTGTAGCCGAGTCGAACCCCAACCAATGCCAGCGCTTGAAGCCAGCGCCTGTTCTGGGGCGCACTTTGTTCAAATGGGCCCCTAGCACTTGTAGAAAGTCCAACGTGCCACAATACCTCGGAACGCTCCAGGCGAAGCCACCACGGCTGCCAGTCTTACCTTTCGTGCACCAGAACACGAGGATGCCCCCGTTACCGCCGACCAAGTAGCTCCGTTGCAAATGGGTGTACCTGACCACACCAAAACAGAGGGCGTAGGCACAAAACACCATAGGCCAGTGAGGATTGTCAACGGTGGATTCCAGGGTGCCCAACAGGTGGATGACCATAGATGGCTCCAAAGTCGCCGCCTGCGCCTGCCCCTGACCGAGGCGGGATCCCAAACCAGCCCGAGGTTTCACCACTTCGGAGAGGTCAAAGGGCAACTTGAGGTTGCGGACGATCCAGCCTAGAGCTGTATATGCCCTGGTAGGGGACTTGTGCTCACGAATGAAGGTGGCCAGGAGGTGTTTGTCCGGGATACCTCCACCTGCGGCCGCAATGACCCCTTGAAGCTCTTGCCACGTGTGCAATGCCCGCTTCACGGTGGCGGCCTCCGCCTTCTGGAGCACATGCGTGAGCTTGGCCTCGAAGTTGGCGGTGATCTCAGCCAAGCGAGCCGCCGGCGGGGGCTCAACTGCCAGAAGAATGGCCATCAACTGCGGCAGAAAGGTCAAGGCACCGCCATCCGGGCCGCCCGACTGACGGCCCTGGGCGCTGGGCCTGACTGGCCCCGCAAACGATGGGGTAGGTCGTGGCCTCAAAGGTGGCGATGTGGTGGGCCGCGGCGCTGATTGCGAAACTTGTTCACGACGAACGATGTCTCGCACCAGGGCTCCAGCGCCCAGCTCCGCTTCACGGCGCGCCTGGTCCCAGGCCTCTGCCACTGCGCGGCCCTGCTTCAGCGCTTCCTCGTAGGTAACGAAGTAAAACGCTAAGTCGGAGGGCCTTTCGATACCATGGGCAGCGCACCACCGCTCCAACTTCTGCTGTTCAGCAGAGCGGCGGATCTGATCATCGGCGCTTGCCATGGCGTCAGAACCGGGAAGAAAAAGTTTAGCTTGAGGTACCAGCAGCGACACTGCTCCTCAAGGGGCGTCTCCCCAGTTTGGTTTGAGCATTCAAACATTGGGAGACGTTGATTCGAAGCTTCCCAAATAATTCATCATCACCGACCCTGCCTACCTTAAATGATTGAATAACAAAGACGGCTTCCCCCAACAGTTGTTGACAAAGAAATAAGACTGCTGTGATTAAGCTGCAAGGGTCTTCCAGCAGCCCCACTCAACACTGCAGTCCAAACAATGGGTTGCACAGCCACGCATGTTCAAGTAAAGTGCTCCTTCCAGCGCAGTTGGCACAGTTCCAGATTTCCTACACCACACATGCACGGTTTTCTACAATCAGCTGCTATAGCCATCTAGTCGACCCTTTCTTCTTGATCCAAGACCGGAAAACCTGGGCAGCCGGACAGGGGAGCTCCTGAAGTTCTCGCACCAAGGACAGACCCTTCCTGAGTGATGAGTGATGGGACTTTACAAAAGGAGAGACAGCTTGGACCTAATCGCCTAACTGTGACGCGAGTTCTGGAATCACGACTGTGTGACGGAGCGGCTTGGACCTTTTTTTTGCAAGAAAACAACTCAGTCTAACTTTCCATTCCACAACAGCTGAGATTGAGACCTCTCCAGGAAACATTTCAAGGCTCCCTCGTTCGTCGAAAGGATAGAACAGCAGAAGCGACCTGAGAGCTCATCTGCCTAGTCTTGTTCCAAAACCCAGCATATGCCCTTATCCCCCACTGAACACCGCTGCCCAAAACTGTATTGCAGGGGGGCAGCAAGAAAAATAGATCAAACAGCTATAGGCCACAGGTTTTCACACTTAACATTACAATGCAATCAGCCCACAGAGACGGATTCAAACCCCAACATTCCATACTATGAAGCTGGACTGGTTACCCTCAACTAACATGCAAGTGGAAAATAGAGGAAAGCAGTCTTCGAAGTGGCCACTTGGATGTTTGTTGGAAAGAGGGGATGTGATATGAAGTTTCTTTGACGGGCAAACACCTACCTTTTGACTTAGAGGTGATAGGAGTCGGATTTACTGTTTCTTTCTCTGTCTTCCTTTGTGGGGAGAGCTTATCTTGTGTCCTCTCTCTCTCTCTCTCTTCCTCTTGCTTCAGCCTCCCCCACCATGTCTGCTCTACTCAGCCACCAGGCAGAATGGTGCCAGTCGATCCGACAAGAATTCTGTGTGGTCCTGGCATATTCCCAAAGGCCTCAATCTGAGACACAAACTCTCAAGACACAGCCAAATTAAAGTCGTCTTTGCACTCCGACTCTAAAACACTCAAATCATCTCTAATCACTTTAGCCTGCCGGTCCTCCAAATCCAGAGGCGTCCATTCAGGAAAAGCCTGTCGACTCGGCAGCTGCAGTTGGTCTTACCAGCAGCTGCAGCGATCACTAAGGGCAGAATTTAATCATCTGCTATTATCAGAACCCCAAAAAATGCGTATATATATAAACTGAAACATTAAATCATCATTTGATCTATGCGCACATCTTTCTATCTTTAACCTCAACACTCCGGTTTGGGCCGCTGCCGAGTCTGACTATTTGTAAAGTTACTATATATATATACAAATATATTACTTTGTTGCTTTTTGGAACCTGTCCAAGTGCAGGTGTTGTGAAGCTGAGCTCATGTCATTTGCACTGAGGAATTCTAATAACAAGGAATCAAATGAATATGTTATGAAATATCGATTGAGTTCAATTATATAATCATATTATTGGTTCATTCATGCTAAGACTGCTAAGAAATAGTGTTGAGTTCAAGGGTCGGTGTGGTTAAAGAGAGCACACTGGCACCCATTATACCGCTGCCTTGGCCTGCTCGGCTGCGGTTTGCATGTTGGAGAGCATACAATCCACCACCTCATCATCAGGCGGATGAAGCTTCGAACAGAAGAAATGTCATGTTCCCCTGCAGTGTGGCAGCCAAGAAGCGGAACTTGATCTTCCTACCTGCGCTTCTATCAGAATTGAGGGATGCCAAGAAGCAGCGGCTGCCTTTTACTAGTACGGTCCCCTTCTGAATCCTCAACAAGTCAAAATTTTGCTGTCTTTCACACAGGCAGGGTAATTGTCGCTCACAGTCCAGAGGAAAGCTGAGACTCAATCCTGCAGGATCTAACCTTTCCCATCCCTCCAAAGGAGGGGATTATACAGACTACCTGACACCTCACCCATGATTCCCAGAGCTACACGTGCGTTCTCTCTCTCTCTCTCTCCTTCTTGGGAACCCTTACATGCTCAGTCAGCTTGTTTGGACCAGCAGGTCGATTCCGGAGCATCTGCCGCAAGCAAGGGGAGACAGCGTGGTTTTTGTGGCCTGGCGGCCTGCTCAGAACTCCTTTTGTAGCAGCATCTTCTCTTCTGCATTGCTCAATCTACAGTAAATATGTATATATATATATATCTGACGATGTCTCTACTTTGTTTCCACCGAGTATCATCCAGCAACTAGCTATTTGTCGCGATTGGGCATGTGTGATGTAGGGAAGAAGAATCCTAACTTGTTGACTTGATGCAAATATGTGTGTGCTTTACAGGGTACTGCAGCACTCTGGAAGTTCGTGAGCAACACCTGTGCAAGGTTTGGAATTTATGCTTAATTTCTGAGCCGCTTCATCTATTGGTGATCGGGTCATGAAAAAGGCGACCCTTAATCATATCTCACATTTACACATCGCCTGTTGTGTCAGCAGGGCAAGTCACGTTGCCAATCTTGCTCCCCTTGAACGAAGGGTCCACCCAAGCCCAGTTGGCCTTCTCCACGTGTGTCCCCATGATCTGAACAAGCTCCTTCCAAGCCAAGAGCAGCTTGGAAACTGTGGAAACGCTTGCTTTCATAGAGCCACTTTTTGGGTCCACCACTCCACTGTACCTCCCCATCTCACCACCATCGTTGCCCACCCAGCTGGGTGATCAAAGACAATCCATTGGCCTGATAGGAAGCTAATCGTTTTCTATGCTTTCGGTCTTACGACTCGTGTTCATTCTACTTGAGGCCAGCGAGGGTAAACCAGAACTAGAGCAATCGGTTGCAAAAGCACGTCACTGTGCAATGCTGGTTCAAACAATCAAGGATGCTTCTGTAACTGTGACTGTAACAGCCAACTTAATGTTATCTTGCTTTATATATCTGAACGCGTGGGAGAGTCGTGGTGAAGAAATCACTGTACTGGCATCAGGCCTCAGCAAACGCCAGCTTTCGTGATTTGCCCAAACCCGCCATTCAATCATTATAGATTCGCCAACAAATGATCGGATCCGGCCAGTTCCCCGTCTTCCCCATCTCTCCGGCTGCGAATGGAGGAGCCCTGCAAAGCTGCTCTCCATGAGCGCCTCCGTCACTAGCTGCAACGGCCTGAGAGGGGACAGTAGTCATCTTCCTGAGACCTGTTTGTTGCGAATGATGGTCAAAGTGAGCAAATCTGACAGCATGGGGCGTGTTGGGAAAGTGTTTTGAGACTTTCATACCAACTACACATTGTGCCATTCCGAGCTGTAGGTAGAGAGGAAGTGTTCAGCTATCAAAGTCAAGAACAAAATACAGCCTGTCAGACTTGATCAGTTGCCATTGTATGCACGAGCAGACTAAGGCATTTACAGGCCTGGAGCCTTTCTCTTTGGCCTCCGGACTTTGAGGCAGCACCCAGGATGAAGTTCTCTCCAACCTGCTACAAGACTTAAGCAAAGCCGCCACATATGCAAAATAAAAACGAGTCTTGGTGGAACACTGGTTTCCCAGGGGCTGCTCCAGGCTTTGCACCCCTGCTTTGCACCCCTGCTCCAGGCTCCGGACTGCATGCAGGGCAATGGACGCCAAGCAACCAGGGACGAAGTTGAGACATTCAACACCTCAGGACGCTACTAGGAGCAAAGGGCATCGCTACTAGGAACAAGGACGCTACTAGGGGCTCCTGGCCTTACTACTAGGAACAATGTTTGCTATTAGAAACAAGAATTAGTAAGGTTGAAATAGGTTAAGGCAGGTTGAAGTCTTGCCTTAGCTTCCTGAATCTGTTACGGTCGGGCAGTGCACGTCCATAGGGATACAAACTCTTTTCCGAAGGAGTCTTGTGTAGAGAACGCTCCGCAGAACCAAAGCATCTCGCTCCCATGTGGCCGTGCAACGACTGGGCCGCTGGGCTTCGCATTGTCTCTTTGTTCAACGCGGACATGATCTCTGGCCTCTCATGCGGTTCCTTTCTGGGTCATGTGGGGACCTGCCTGTGCACTATTCAAGTTCTACAAAGCACACAAAAATGAAACTGCAAAAAAAAAATGCAAAAAAGAAACTTCTGGCAAGTTCTTACAATATGCTGGGCAAAACCTTGGCTTCCTGATGTGAAAATGGAGTATCGACAAGGTGTGACGCTTGCAAGCCGTAAACAAAATTCTAAGGCTCTGGCAAGACCTCAGTCTCGATCATTCGGGGTACCCTGGAAGGATCCTCAGCATGGCCAAGCGCCAAAAATCCAAAGTCAGAAGGGGAAAGAAAGACACATTTGAAAGCTGCAACTATCAGTCGACACCCTTGCGAAACCCTCTTGAAGCTTCCTCACTTACTTGAGAGGTTCGAGCGAATTGAGTGATGCCATCAATGTTTGTATATCTTGTTGTTTACTGTTTGCCTACCTCTCCCACTTTCAACTAGCACCCCTGGTTGGGGGGATGCATCTCATACCGCTTTCCATCACCACTGTAGCCAAGCACTGGGCATCTTGGATAATGCTGGAGACAATGTCGATGGCCGTGCCGAAGAGTGGCAAACCAATCTTCATAGGCGCCTCCCATCTTCTGTGATGTAGTCACTGGAAGCGACGGCGAAACATGAAAAAGAATTAGCCTTAGTAGTGTGAGGAGCTGTGGAGCTATGCCCGGCTATGCCCTCTCCATCCCGCCTTCACCGCCAACTTCAGCGCATCCGTCAGCTGCCCTTGGAAGACGCTCGCCAGGCCCTGCGCTGGACAAACAATGAGATGCTTGAAAAAGCACCGAGAAACTATCCAGGAAGGTTCACACTCATTGCCAAAGCAAATGATAGCACACGTGTGTCCTAGCAACCCAAGTCCTCCTAGTGGCAATGATTTGCCGGATGCAAGAAGAAAAGGAAATTAGGTTGTCAGTCTTAGTATGCGGCCAATCTACACAAGTTCACTTCTGATCACTGTTTCAAACATGCTGCGGGCTATCGATACCGCGGTTTCTAGCTGTGCCGAGGCGACACACTTGTGTCTGCACTGTGCTTGTGCCGTCACTGTTAGCCTGGAGGGCCTCGCTACATTGCAAAGCTGTCTGGACATTCTTCAGCCTTGGTATTTGGTCGATCAATGCAACTTCACCAGCACGGGTTGTCAGAACAAGCGCAGCAAAGACAGGAGCGCTGAGAAGATGTGCTACCCAAACTTTGGACGGGCCCAGCATATGTAATTTCCAGATTGGCTCATGGTGTCCAGGCTAGCTGGGCCACCCGGCAACTGGCGACAAAGGCGCCGTCTGAAAGTGACCTCCTCGAAGAGGCTCCGAAACCTCCACAACAAAGAACGCAGCAAGATGGAGAGAAAAGAAATAGAGTGGATGGTCATGGATGGTCGATATGTTGTGCATTGTCTCTTCCCCAAACCAATAGTGTGGCAAGGTTTCTATGTTTATGGCAGCTGGCCAGCCTTGCAAGAACTGCAAGCAGAGTAGAACCACAGGCAGGAGTTTGTAAAGAGGTGTGGCCCATTTGACAAACGTATGCCTCATTTGATAGGCCAAGCAGCAAACTGAGCTAGGACGAAACTCAAACAATTTCAAGGACCAACAATTAAACTTCAAAGGACCAACAATTCAAGCTTAAAGGGCCAACGCTAGTAGTAACAAGAAGCTAGTAGTAACAAGTGCCACGCTAGTAGTAACAAGTGCCTTACTAGTAGTAACAAGAAGCTAGTAGAAACAATTAGTAATTAATTCTTGTTTCTAATAGCTTCTTGTTAAGCTTAACTTCAAAGGACCAACAATTCAAGCGATCCTAAGGGCCAACTGGACGCGCGATCCCGTGCCTCTGACGCTCTTCCTCTGGTGCCTCTGGACCAGGAGATCGGGACTCCACCACCTTGGTCGCCGAAGCAGCTTGGAGTAGACAGTACTTGCGGAAGAACACGCGCAGAGGTGTAATCTACATGTAAATCTATCGTAGAAAAGACGCAGATCGATCGTCGCCCAGTTTGACTCACCATGTTTGCGGCAAGACCGAAGAAGTCCAGCTCACAGACTCCCTTGTTGTTTGGTCAATTGGTTCCCGGCGTCACCAGTAAAATCCAAAGCCTCAGTCAGTTGATCAGGACCATGTCGGCAATGAGTGCCACTGCTATCAGCAGAAGACATGTTTGGACTCGGTTTCTCTCATGCCTAATGACCAATGCTACCCATGCAAACACAATTACTTCTACATGAACTACATATCAGCTTCATGGTATTTCATAGTCATGCCTACAAATTGTGGGGAAACTCCCCGGACCAAACAGCTTCAATAAAGCCAAAGACTTCTCAAAACAAATGGCTGCACAGCCAACACCCACAGAATGTGGAACCAGTTGCTTGGACAGCTTTGAGCAGCTCGGCTGCCAGCTGCTAGATCCAAACAAAAAAGGCATTCCAGCAGAGCTCTTCATCCACGAAGAGGAAACAAGAGGAACATGCTCACCGCTTGCAGCACCAATGCTGCTGCGGCGCCATCAACAACTCTACTTCTCTCTGCAACCGCATCGAAAAGGCCTGAAACGAGCTGGACCAGACATTGAACAAAGCAAATTTGAACATTGCAAGTCTCAGTTTCAGTGGACTCACTCGCCCAAGAAGTGATAGCGATTTCAAAAGATAAAAACTGTAAACAGCGGCCCCGTGAATGAAGGCAGCGCAGATTGTTGGTGCCTGCAGCCCTCCGAAATCTCGGAAGAGAACCAAGGCAGCTGTGCCAGAAACCTGGTGAACTGCATCTGGGTCTCACTACCTTTACCTCCAAAGTGACCTTGACAAGCAACTAGCGAATGTGTTTTCACGATCAATCAAGCATGAACGAAAAGGTTGAGAGTCGACGCATGAAATTCTGCAATAAGCGTCGTATAGAAAACCTATATCCAGAGATCCATAGAAAAACCTTAAGTTTCCTGAAAAATCTAGGAACCAAATCATTAGTGCGAGCGCTTCTTCACTTAGGGTGGCAGGGGAGCTTCCTTGAAGAAGCGTGAGCTATCTTGCGTCCTGTCGGTAGTAGCCTACTTGTAGGTACTAGCTACCATTGCTACTAGCTACTACCTACCTCAGTTGCACCCCCCAAAAAATTAATAGACATAATATGTTTGTAAACTAGAAAACCATGCCAATTCTGACAATCCGTCTTTGGGTCGCTCCGGGGTCTCTCGTCTGTCACCTTATCCCGTTGGAGCCTCAGTGGCAAGCTCCAGGCATCGTAGCATAGAAGTGACCACTGGCAGGGAATTCACCTCATGAAGTCTCACGAAGTCTCGCCATAACGAGTCGATAGCCTGAGAAACTCCCGGACGTGGAAACGAGACTCACAATGAGTGCAAGACAAGGTGGTCTAGCACTGAGCGAAAGTCAACAGAATCATGTTGTGGAAACTCAGATTGGAAGGCACTAAAAATGTTCCAACTGCGCTCGACTAGAATCTCTTGGCAGTTGTGAATACACATCGCTCATTCTAAGGTTTGTGCTTCAGTCTTGTGCAATAGCTCCAACATGGAATGCAGCATCCCAGCATGCCTGTGACTGTCTGCAAAGGTTCTCCGAGCGAAGGGGCGGACTGGAGTCGTTCCTTCAGAAACAGTAGTGAATGTGAGAAATTCGGAACATTGGTTTCCTACAAAACCAGCTACATCTAGCTGCTTTAGTGACATTGTCGCTCGGGCAAGGTTTGCACATCTGCCAATGTTGGGGCAAACTCTTCCTGCTGAGCAACAAGTAGAGTAGAGCATAGGATGCAGGTGGGAAAAATGCTGAGAAACAAAACAAATCGGAACATATCGGAACAAAACAATGGTGTCCATGGCGCATGTCGTGTTTCCCATGGGTCGCTGGGTGGCCCGAACCCCAGCTGTGCAGTGGTCTGATGGTTGTTCAGCGTGGTGATCTGAAACAAATCTAAGGCCTCAAAGGACAAATGGAGCCAGAGCAAATCAATGTCTATTTGGCTGAGCTAGACGGTTTCAGTATGTTGGGCCAGCTTGATCTGAATTTAAACACAACCACTTGTTAGACGTTCAAGCAGCCTGACAAATCAGATCAGAGAAGATGTGCGGAAAGAGGACTCTCTAGATGACTCTCTGAACTGTCCGAAACATGGTGCCCGCGAATCAAGGGTGATCTCATCTCTCTCAGCTCAAATGCTGTCGCTTGCAAAGACCTATCTAACTCGACGAATCTATCTGGGAGCTAGGAGATTCGAAGACTTGCAAGCTAGCCACTGCCGAGAGGACTCTGTTGTGCTCTTGCGACCTGGCATTGAAGCAACTGCCAGTTCCCTGGGTTTCATTTGTCCAATATAACCAAGGTAAGGTTGGCTGCAATGTGCTCCAATCACTAAAACTAGAATATTTACAGCACATGCAAAGCTTGACAGTGTCAAAACACAGAAAAATGTCGTTGCAACATCCGAATCAACGCAGAGTTAAGCCTCCCAATCAAAAACTGGATCGGGCCCCAATTGTCCCCCTACTCATCTCCACCTTGTCTAGCTCAACCACCCCTTACTTGGACCTCAAGCAGAAATCAAGCCGAATGGACTCGTGAGCATCTGGTTGATGTGCCAAGAGCCCTCTCAACGCCTTGGCCAGTCAGTCAAGCTGCAAAAGGAAAATATGAAGAAAAAAAACATACTTTAAGGAACCTAATAGCGATGGCCTCCGACCTAATTGCCATGGCCTCCAACCTACTAGAAAGAATATGTTGTGTGTGGTTCCCCTCAAGGGGTGCATTCTCCATATCGTGAGAACAATACAAGGCGGCCTAGTCCAGTTCTTGAGGCAATGAATGAAAGAACCCCGACGGGGCAAAGCCGGCCAAAGAACAACCAGTTCGATAGAAAGAGCCCGTTTTGGGGGGGGGGGGTCATGGGTAGGGGCGTTGTCAGGGTAGTTAGCAAGATGAGCTGCCAGCAACAAACATGCTACTATGTAGAAGCAAGGACGCAGAACACAGATCCTAGATAATCTTAAGGGACAGTATCAGTATCAGGAAATGTGTACATATATAATATATATGGAAAATAGAAATACGTTGTGAATCGTTGTGATGACAAGTCAAGCACTTTCTATGTCTTCGCGTCCCACCCACAATCCATTTCACAACAACCCAGATCTTGGGTCCCCGACACATGCGACAATGCCGTGCGGCAAGGAGAGCCCAAGCCTGGTCATGCAAACAATGATTATTCGTGTTATTCTAAAGGTTTGGTGGCTCGTTGATTAAACCATGCCTACATATTCAACATGCCTAGAACCATGTTGGCTAACACCTTTTATGTTCGTTTCTGAAAGTTATATATATATATGTATACAGCATGATATTTGCCATCTACTTGCGGAGA